GCTAAGTGCTTTTTACATGCATTTGCTCATTTAATCTTTGGAGAGTCCAGAGAAAGGAGTAGAAAGTTACCTATCAAATGGTGATTGTCAGCTACTTTCACTGGGGGTGGGATAAAGAGATGGTACTTTTTAAAAGCATATGATTTCTGTGAATTTTTCCTGGTCACAATAGGTGGATTAATCAGCTTTTGTCATGAAACAAACCATCACAAAATCAGAGTGCTATCTAAGGTTAAGTATTGTTTTTCCTGCTTATGAGTCTGCAGGTTAGCTGAGGTGGCTTACACTTCTTAAGGTCCCGGTGGGCAGTCTCTTCTCTCCACCGCGTGGGGCTCCCTGGCAGTTTTCAGAGTAGTGATGCTGGTTTCTCCTGGAACTGCTGATTCGAATGCCATATTGCATGTGTTCATGTGCACCCTGAAGAGATAGAGTTGAGTGTCCAATGCAGGTCTGCTTGATGTGTCTCATTCTAGAACTCATCCTAGAGAGGTAGGATCTACCAGGGATCTGTTCTTCTCATGGCAGAGGTTGGGGCAAATGGAAACATGGGAAGCTTTTTAAGACCAAGGCTTGGAACTGGTATACTATCATTTTTGCCCACTTTGTATAGCAGAAGCAAGCCACATGTCCAAGTCCAATATCAGTGAAGCTGGAAGGTCATGGAGGATATGGAAGGAGATAGTGAATATTTGCTGTATAGTCATCTACTATAATCCACATTCACTGCTTTGTTAGTTATAAAAATAACAATAAAGTGAGGAAAAGAGAATACTTAGCCAGCATAGTTTAAATTGTGTTCAATATATTACAAAGTTGCATTAAGCATTTCTTAAAAATACAAACTCCATATTTACAATTATAATGAGCTTAGTGATAGCCACATGGGCATTTAATTAATCAGAGTACTCATTGCCTGGAAGGGCAGGTAGGCATTTACACCAGCTTGGTTTATGTGGCTTATGATGTGACATTCTAGGCATAATTCAGAGACTTTATTGGCCCTCTATATGCATCCTTGCTAATTGTGTGGCCATCTGTAGCACAAGGAGCTTAAATCATGAAATAAGAGATTCTTAGAGCGGGAAGGGCTCTGGTGCCCATGGTAGGCAGGTGCCTTCTAACTTACATGGACAGCTGCTTTTGCCAATTATAGTTATTCTTGATTGGGTGTGTCTCACATTGCTGGAAAGTGGTTATGGAAATCAAAATTCCTTCATTCAGCCAGTGGCGACAATGGACCTCCCAGCTGTCACTTACCTGAGTGACACATTAAATTAGTAGCTAAGATAGGATTGAAACCCAGGTGTCTAGAGTGGGCCCAGGGTTTCTTACTTTTCTCTCTGCATAACACAAACATCAAGTGTTTGGATCATTTGGGAATATTCACTAGGTCCTGAAACTTCCATTACTCTCTTTAAAATATATATTGTCATCTTTCTCTACTGCTTCCTCTGTCTTGCAAGAACCTAAGCACTTCTTAGACCTACTAAGTCTGAGTCCTGGGACGAAAACACCAATTGGCACAGACGCTGAAATAAAGAGTGCCATGTTAAATTCCTGAAGACACTGGCCAGGGAATCATGCCTATTTTAATTTCCTTTCTATTCAAGCTAATTTAGACAATATCTGCTGATCTAGCTCATGGGAATCAACTACATAAAGAAAATGTTTTATTAAGGACTTTGTAAGGATTAAGTGTTGTGTTCCTCAAGTTTCAGTAATTTACGCACTGCTTTCTTCATTTTGCTATGTTCACTTACAGATCTAAAATTAATTTTCTTGGTATTTTTCTTTAAAGAGATTTACTTTCTTAAAACTTAAAGATATTTTTTATAGGAGATGATGTCTTACAATTTTAAGTTGATTTGAGTAACAAATATTACTTGCCAGAAACATTTAGACCACTGTAAAAATAAATACACAGTCATTCAAATACATAGATTTGTCCTTGTACCACCAAAAGTATTCTCTTATTCTATAGGAGGTAGACATTCTCCACTGATATAGTGAAAAAGTATGGGCTTTGGAATCAGGAAGACTTGGGTTCAAATCTCAGTGCATTCCCTTCCCAGTAGTATGATCTTGGGCAGTTGCCTTAAACTGTTGAACATCAGTTTCTTGTCTATAAAATGGAATGACAACAGCTATCTCATAGCGTGAGTGTGTGTGTGTGTGTGTGTGTGTGTGTGTGTGTGTTCAAAAAGTATCAAATGTCATTCCTGGCTCATAGTAGAAGTTCAAAAAATTTAGCTGCCTTCTTTCCCTCATTTTCTCCCCCAAATGGCATTCATGGACCCTATTGTTGGATAAAGGAATGTTCTGTGGGCAGAATTAATTATTCCCTGAATATCTTACTGATCAATTGCTTACCACATCACTAGGAAACGTGCTAAATGTTGTGGGTACAGTGAAAACTGGGTAAATGGACTTGCAGACTTGGATTCTAGTGCTGTTTCATCACCTTTGGATGAGTCACTGAACATCTCTGAGCCTCAGTTCCCCCCTCTGAAAATGAGGGTGGTCATTGCCACTTCCCCCTGCTTCGCAGAACTTGGGTAAGGAATGCCACAGTAGCAGGTAGAAAATGCTACAGGCATTTCTGCTACAACATGACATGGAAGTTCCTGCAAAGCTTGGTGTTCTGCAGAGTTGTACATTAAAAAATAATAGGCCTTTTTGCAAAAATAAGGTTGAGGCAGACCACTGAAAACCTGTGCAGTATTGTAACCACAAGGCTAAGATAAAACTCTCAGTATCCTAAAAAGACCTGTTAAATTTTGACAGAATAAATAAATAAATACACACACACATACTATAGCAAATATAGGACTCAACCTTAAAACTGGCAAAGGTTGCTTGATGGGAGGCATAAGGGAGAGAGGGGGCTGCCCAGTTATGGCAGTGAGGGCAGGTGCTTGAAGATGGGGGCACACTGTGCAATAAACCCTTTTAAGAAAGGCAACGTGGGCAAACAGCTCAGCAAGAGGATGGAGGGTGAAAGGGCACTATGCCCAGTCCCCCTAGTTCTGTATGCCTTTGAGGCAATCACATTCCCCTGTGCAGGACAGTCTCTGTTCCCCTGCTGTTCCTCAGTGGAACAAAATGCTAACATCCTGGAGAAATCAGTGTGAAAGAAGGCGGCTCTCATTCCCCTAGTGATCAGTCTTAGCTTGTCTTCAAGTCTCACGTGTCACAGTATCGTGTCGTAGAGCACGGTGGCCGCATATGCTGATGTGGAGGGCGAGGGGTGCAGTTCTCCACCAAGAGCCTGTCCCAGTCCCGGGCTTCATGAGCTGCACAAGCAGAGACTCCCAGAGGCAGAATACATTCAGAGACTTCCCTCCCTTCCCCGTCTGACTGGTCCACACCGCCCTCCTCTCCTTGGTTGCAGGGCTCTTCTTCCTCACTAGCCTGTGTCTCCTGGAGAGAGGGCTCTGTCATATTCCCTGATGTGCTCTGAGGGCTCCCATAAGGGCCCTGGAGCAGAATGGTTGCATGAGAGCTGAACCCCCTTTCCTAGGCAGGGAAGGGCCCTGGGCTCTCCTGAGAGCATCGGAACCAGTGGACCCCCTTGAGATGAGGATGCAGGCACTCTTCCAGGACGGGGACACTGTCTCATTCAGCTCTATCTCCAGTGAGGCAGGGACTCACTCCTCAGTGGGTCCCAGCCCTACTTTACCTATGCGAGAGCATGAAGGGGCTAGGGGCATATCTTCCTCCTCAGTGTTCCTCCTTCCCTCCCTCCCTCCCTCCCTCCCCACTCCCTGCTGACTTCTCATTCTTTTGACAAATACTGACTGAGGATCTATCCCATATCACACATTATACAAGGTCCTGGGAATGAAGTGGTGGGCAAAAAAGACATGGAATCTGCCCTCATGGTGCTTCTATATCACCTAGAGGTTAAGCACTTAACCTCTGGAGCCAGAGTGTCTGGCTCTGGTGTCTGGCTCTGTCCTTGATGCATTATATACACTTGGTCAAATTCCTCTCTCTGAATCTGTCTCCTCATCTGTAAAATAAGGTTCACAATAGAACCTATTTCAGAGGGTTGTTATGGATGTTAAATGAATGATGAGTACCTAACCCAGGAAGTGCCCAGTAAATGTCAACTGTGATCACTGGTATTATAGTTACTATATATAGGTAATTAATAAATTAATATGAAATCACAGTAAGCAGCTAGTGTTAGGAGTGAAAAAAGCCAGGTGGGGATTGCCTGTGATCTGGAACTATGTTTTCCCTGCAGTGTAGTTAGCAGGATATTGAATATTACCTGATGGGGGAGTTGGGAGACAGTTGAGCTACTGACCTAGAAGATCTCCAAACACTTCTGGCTTTAAGGAAAATAAAATGGAGGATCTTCTTAAAGGGGATGATCTGAAAGGGCCTCTCTAAAGAGGGGCTACAACACAAAGGATATAAATGCTGACCCTGGGAGAGGAGAGTGGTTTGGGAAGGGCATTCGGGGCAGAGGAAAAGGCAGGGAAGAGCCATCACCAATGATCAGCTGTTGAGGACTTTTTCTACAGGCTCTGCACTAGGTCAATTCTGTTAAAAGATCTTCCGTTTTCCACTGCTCAGTTCAAGTGTCTACTGTATGGGGGGGCTCTCAGTTGTGGCTTTTAAGTTCTGGAGACTGGACACTGGAGAGTGGGGGGAGAGGGGCAGAGCAAGAGGGAGAGAAAGAGAACCTCAGGCAGACTCCCTGATGAGCGGGGAGCCCAAGACAGGACTCGATCCCACAACCCTGAGATCATGATCTGAGCTGAAACCAGATTTGGTTGCATAACTGACTGAGCCACCCAGGTGGCCCTGGCATCATCCATATTTTGAAGATTCTAGAGCTCCACGTCTTTTCGGGCTATTACTGTGGCTCACTCTACACTGCCATGTCTGTTGGACAGTTGTTTTATTTCCCAGGCTACCCTTGAGCAAAATAAAGAAAGGAAATACAATGAACATGCATTTCTAGGTACCACATTCCAAATTCACCCCCAGCGCTTGCTTCGGCAGCACATATACTAAAACTGGAACAATACAGAGGAGATTAGCTTGGACCCTGCACAAGGATGACATGCAAATTTGTGAAGTATTCCATATACTAAACAAACAAACAAACAAATAAATAAATTGACTCCCAATCCCAAAGTTTCAAACCGTACGTGTTACTAGCCACATACAGTTTGGGTAACCTTGGTCATGTCATCTCATTTGCTTATTCCTTCACAAATCCTCATTCAGCAAATACCGATTGAGCAAGAAGTATATGCTAGCATGACAGGCTAGATGGGTCACTTGGGGCCTCGGCTTCTCCACCAATAGCGTGAAGGCCTGGGCCAGATCACTGGTTCTCCACTGTAGTGCTGACTCCCAACCTCCATTTTAGTAAACAAATTAGAGTGGATTCAAAAAAGTAATCCCTTTAATAGCTTCAGTTTACACCCAGGGATACTGAAAAGCTTTCTCTGGTGGGAGAGAAAACTGGATTGACAGCTAGCAGCTGGAAATGTTTATTATTATTACCCCATGAATTGTTTTCTCTGCCTAGACTGTTAGGCTATGTGAGTCTCACCTGTCCAGGACGCCATGGAAAGGGTTGAGAACTGCTGAACTGGGTGTTCTCTGAGGCCCTTCCTGGTTTTGACATTCTCTGAGTCCTGTGATTATTTCTTTTTTCTTTGGCTCTTTCATTTAACACCAATTCATATGTGTGTTTCCAAGAATCCACGTGGCTCTCTCCCATGTCAGTCTCAGGGATTATGCTTCAGTTTTGCTTAGTAGTTTCCCTAAGATTCCACCCTCTTGATTTACTCTATTTTACAGACTTTTCAGAACCTTCATTTCAATGAATCCTGTGTGTGTGTGTGTCCCCACACTCAAGGTCTTTATCTCTGGTAGCTGTAGGCACTTAGTAACTGTTGGACAAATTAGCAAATTCTTAATGATTATCAAGAACTGTACCATACGCTTACCTACAGGTAACAACCTTTGGGTTTTTTGACTTCTTTTGTGAGGGTATTAATTCTGAAGATGGAATTGCTAGATACAAAGATATAAGCAGGTTTTTTGCTTTTATTACCAACTGCCAGATTGCCGTGGTGCTTTTGTTTTACGTAAGTGGTGGTATTGCCGATAATATTAGTGGTAATTATTTATAACATTATCTTAAATGATCAAATCAAGGGGTATTTTCTCTCCCTTTTTATTCTAGGTATCAATATGCTTTACATTCCAAACTCTAATAGTTTCCCCAAAGCCAGTCAGATCAGTGCTGCCTGCTCTGACTTTAGCCAGAGAAGAATGGGGCTGTTCCCACACTAGGTATCAGCAATGTTTATGTCCACCCTTTTGCCAGTTCAACGCCAGCCCGGTTTGGAGTTTTCCAGGATGATGAGATGATGATGGTAGAGGTAATTATAACAACGCTGTGTAGCCCCATATTCTGGATAAGGAGACGAAGACTCAGAGAGGGGACACAGCTTGTCTTCAGACACACGGCTAGGAATTAGCAAAGACAGGATTTACTTCTGGTTTCATCTGACTCCAAGCCTGTCTCTTTCCACTAAACTGTACTGCACCACTCCCCAAGTGGACGTTCAAGGTCAGGAGCCTCATGAGACCAGCAGGTCTGTCAAGTTCTGCAGGACCAAGCTGTTTATCGTTGCAGAGGACACTCATCACTGCACTAATTACATTAATTGCTGCCCACTCTGGGGCTAGGTGGGTGGCTTAACACTACCGAGCAACATGGTAATGATGCCTGGGCCTGCCTTTCTGCGTGAAAACATCTGACTGCCTTTTTTCCCCCCTCTTTTAAACTCCTTCCCATGGTGGCCAGAGATAGTAATTATAGGTTCTATTGGTTGGAAGTCAGTGACTCTGTGCCTTGTAGGGGAAAGGTCAAGACTCTGAACTTTGCCTTCCATCAACATCAGCTGTGTGCTTGACACTTTATTTAAGGGATCTTTATAATCCTCGTGATAGCTCAGAAGGAGGTATTATATTATCCTTGTTTTGTTTATAGGGGAACCCAGTCACCTCTTTGGGATCACATAGCCAGGAAGGGCTGGAAACCGGCTTAGAACTCAGGGCGGTCGGAGGACAAAGTGAGTTTCCACTCATTTCCCTAGACCACAGTACCTCTCAACAGGAGTCTTTTTCCTCCTGATGCTCCAAACTGAATTACCAGAGTAATTGAGTCTGCATTTCCGGAGAAGAAGCAGGGCACTGGGAATCGGTGTTTTCAGGAGTCCTCTATTGCCGAGGGCTGAATATTTGACATTTCAACTGTCCTACTACTACCCCTTCCCTGAGCTTCTCAAGGAAATGGTAACAGAGTGTTCCAGTTGACTTTTTAAGAAGTAATCTGAAGACTATATCCGCCTCCTTCCTGGGAATGGACAAGATGGCTTTGGCAGTTCATCATGATTGGGCAAATGACTTAACTTCCCCAGAGACCCAGATAACAGAAGTTAATGTAGGAAGTAATTGACTTTGGAATGTTGTGTATGCATGCACTTTATGGGTGTGTCCATATCCGTATGTGTATGTATACATGTCAATAAATGTGTGTGTGCCCGTGTGTGTGTGTTCTTCAAGAAGTCTTAGAGAACTGGTCAGCATAGATGACTTGGTTCCCTTCTTACCTACCACCTATCTGTAAATGAAGTTTAAAATTATATTTTACTAAAGGTCAAAACAATGGCGTTATGTAATGACACAGAGTCGTGGTTAAGATACAAGGAGGTAGACCAGCATTGAATCTTGGCTCTGCCGCCTACCAGCTGTTGTGACTTGGGCAAGTCACTTAACCTCTCTGGGCATCCGTTTTCTCATTTCTAAAAATAGAGACAATAACAGTTCTGACCTCATGGGGCTGTTGTAAGTCAGGGAAGTTTTTGAGGGCAGGGACTATGTCGATAATCTTCTCTGCACCCAGCCAGAACAAGGTTTGGAAGGAACAGGCTTTGGACTTAGACAATCTCTCGACTCTGATTCCAGCATTCCCATATTGGCTGTGTGACCTTGGAGAAATTACTTAACTTCTCTGGGCCTCAGATTCCTCAGAATAGAGGCTCATGATTCCCACCTCAAACAATCGTTATATGATGAGGTGGGACGTGTGAAAATCTAGTACAGAGGCTAGCACCTAGGAGGTATCCATTTCCCTTTTGCCGGTCCCAGAGTCTGACATTCAGTAATTGACGACTGAGTTCTTGTTTCTATGTAAAACAGTCTTTTCTGTCACACTTCATTTGTATTTTCTCCTTCCCACGCTTTTTCTTTCTTCCCCTTACCTTCCTTTCCCTTCCTTTTCTTCATCCTTTTCAGTCTGCTCCAATCCACTGTGACTCAAGGCCTCCATCCAGGACTCTCCATCCCCCAGAATCTGACAGCAGCCTTCTCCCTGGCCTCCTTGCCTCCAGCTGGCCCTCTGTTGTTTATCCTTCCAGAACCTGCACCAGACCTCCCCCCACCCCTAGTGGCTTCTCATCACACCCAGAGCAGTCCAGCGTCCTCACCGTGGCCGGCAGACCCTGTGTGGACAGTGTCCTGGCAAATTCTCGGACTGGCTTCCTCCTGCCCTATCTCAGTTCCCTCTGCTCCAGCCTCGAAGGTCTCCTGGCCATTATTGGAACTTTTCAAGCACATTCTACCTTCGGGTCTTTTATACTTGCAGTTCCCTCCCCCTCCAAGTATCCACAGACTTCACTCTCACCTCCTCAGGCCTCTGCTCTCCTGTCACCTTATCAGGAAGGCCCTCCTGGAAGACCTGCATAACATGGCACCCCCAGTCTCTCCCAGTCCCCCATTTGATTTTCCTTCTCACTTCTCGGTGAAATAGTATATATTTATGTATTTACTTTTTATTGTCTCTCTCCTCCCCCCACAGTAGAATGTAAGCTTTATAGGAATAGATTTTGTGTTCCCCCCCTTTTCCTATTTATTTTTATTGAGTGATAGCTGACATACAACGTTATATTAGTATCAGGTGTAGAACCTAGCAGATCCACAGTTACATATATTATGAAATGTTCACCAAGATAAGTGTAGTTGCCATCTGTCACCGTACAATGTTATTACCATGTGATTGCTTTCTGCCGACGTACAGTTGGCGCTCCATAAATAGTTGCTGAGCGCATGAAAGTGTGTGACCTCTCTCTGAAGTGCCAGGGATGAGCCCGCATCCATGCTGCAAGTGACTGCAGGTCTGGGCGGCTCACTGACCAGCATGCATGTTGCCCAGACCAAGGTGATGAGCAAAGAGGAGGTGGATTAGGCACCCCCCCCCACTTCACACCCGCGCCCCCGGGGACCAGTGCTGTTGCGTATGTGGCAGTGATGTGCCCACTCTCACACTTGTGCTTCCTGCTGTCGTTGTGGGGTTGTCTGGAATTCCCATGGCAGCTTTACAGTATGATTAATTTTGCACATACAGATGCATACCGATCATAGATAAGGATCGCTCAAGGTTTACATTTGGCACAACACATGGAAAGTTAGAAGTATGATACCTAACTGTTCCCAGCCTATGAAAGCAAAAACACAAAGTCTGCTAGCTGAACCCCTCTCCTCCACTGGTCTCTCCCCACCCCCCTTCCTTCTCCCTGTCCTGATTCTGTTCCTGTCACAAAGCCTGGTAGCTCAGCCAAGTGAAGGACAGCCCTGGGAACCCAAGGCTCCAGACCCGAGCACCGTGAGATCTCAAGCAGGTGGCCCCATCGCCTGAGCCTCAATTCCTTCTTCTCGAAGATGGGCCTTGAGAACATACTCAAGAATACGTCTTGAGCGGAAGTTGACCAAATGGGACACCACTGTGGCGTGGCTGGCGGGCAGTGAGCACATGCCGATGCTAGTGCTTTCCATGCTGACTGACTTACCTGACCATGGGGCTGGGAGAACCTTGCGTTGGCTTCAGTCAACCTTCAGAACAGGCAACCCAGCTGAAAATGCAGACAAGGCCTTTGGGACTCAGCACCTCATAAGGTGTTTCACGGAGGCCCTACTGTTTGCATGGTGAGGTTTCTGAAGATCCTGGGGCAGGTGGGTGGCTGGGATGTCGCAGCCATGAGAGGCGCGGTTGCGGCTAATCCTGGTTTCCTA